ACACACACACACACACACACACACACACACACACACACACACACACACACACACACACACACACACACACACACACACACACACACACACACACACACACACACACACACACACACACACACACACACACACACACACACACACATACACAACCCGCTACCACGTGTACAGCCGCAAAGTGTTTCCCTTTTGTTCGTGTGCTAACCATCTAACAGTAGCGAGCGACGGTGGCGACACACGGCGGGTGTTTATAATAATGTCGTTGGCCGCCGCCGCCGCCGCCGCCGCCGCCGCCGCCCCTACACGTCCCCCAGTAAAGGTTGCACGCGTATGGTCTCTCTCTCATTCTCACTCTCTCACTCTCTCTCTCACTGTAACATTCAGTCGACGGTCGCGGCTTGCCAAATTCAATCATACGTACGCTGGTATATATATCATGCTTTGGGCACTTGTACGGGGTACTGTACCGTTTTATTTGGATCGTTCTTAGTTTTTGATACTGCATGTGTTTCAATGGTGCTTGTTGTTTTGTTTCATCATCTGCCACCGTGCCTTGCTGCTTGCTGCTGCGTGCCCTGGCATAATGCTGTTTATTACAATGGCTGCCTGTTCTACCTACGCAATACTAATAGCCTCAAGTCGTCAACGTCATTGGCGGAAAGAAGCGCCCACGTGACACCGAAGATCTGCTACTGGTACTTTTTTCCACGATGCTTGTGCATGCATGGGTTTCTGCTTCTCGCGGCCAGGTGGCGCTGCCGCATCACCACGCATGTCGCGCCGACGTTACCGCAGGGAGGGGGGGCGTCGTGGGTGGGGGGAGACGAGGTAGGGAGGGCGGGGCATGTAGGGGGAGGAACGGGGGAGGGGGTTAAGTGTGTGCATCGTCCCTGGGAGGGGAGGGGGGCGACGATAGAGAAATAAACAACGGTGTAGCGTGGTAAACATTCTCCCCCATGACAATCGTTCCCCCCTGAGGACTTAGCGCATGCGCGTGGATAGGTTTAGCAGGTCGCGTCATTACTGTGATTCAACGTTCGTTATTGTCCATGTGCGCATTGTAGAGGGAAGGATATATTTGTCATACGAGGGAAGGTGTAATATGCCAGATCGTCTTGAGGGGAAGGAGAGAGAAAAGTTGGGTGACGATAAGGAGTTCTCTGTGGGCTGGTGGGCGGGTGGGTTTTTTAAGTGGGGGTTGTTTTGATAGTGGGTGGGTGGGAGGAGGGTGATGGTTGCTAATGGAGGAAGGTGAGTGGGTGGGTGGTAGGGCTGGTGAGGGGAAGGTGAGTGGGTGGCTGGTGGTTGGGGTGGAAAGATGAGTGGGTTAAGGGTTGGGAGGAGGTGGGTGGTTGGTTGGTTTAAGGGAGGGTGAGTGGGTTAAGGTTTAAGAAGAGGGTCTGGTAGGTATGGTAGGTAGGGTGGGTGGTAGGTATTAGGTTAGGTAGGGTGGGGGGTGTAGGGTGGGTGGTAGGTAGGGTGGGTGGGTGGAGGGTGGGTGGTAGGTAGGGTGGAGGGTGGGTGGTAGGTTGGGTGGGTGGTAGGTAGGGTGGAGGGTGGGTGGTAGGTAGGGTGGGTGGGTGGAGGGTGGGTGGAAGGTATTGGAGGGGCGGCGTAAGCGCGCACCCATGCCGTGGTGATGTTGCAGTGAACACTGACACGCGTATGTACACGTAGCTGTCGTTAGTGAGCCGGGCTGTAGAACCGTGTCTGTGTGTGTGCGTGCGTGCGTGCGTGCGTGTGTGTGTGTGTGTGTGTGTGTGTGTGTGTGTGTGTGTGTGTGTGTGTGTGGTGTGGTGCGTCACCGACATGGCCGCGCATGGAGAATGACCGTTGCGCCCCTGTGAGCAGTGGTGTGTGCGTGCGTGGCGTGCGTGCGTGTGTGTGTGGGTGGTGTGT